CTTCAACTCCCAGAATTCCCCAGCCAGCATTTGCGAATGCTGGCTGGGGAATTCTGGGAGTTGAAGTCCAGACATCTTCAAGTTGCCAAGGTTGACAAACACAGGCTTGGGGAGCATTCCAAGTTACAAGGTCACTTAAAAAAAAACACCTGACTTATGACTGGTCCTCACACTTGGGACGGTCATAGCATTCCCAACAGTCACGCAATAAAAAAATCAGGCAACTGGCAGAAGGCATGTATTTGTAATTCTTGCAGCACCCCAAGGTCACATGATCACACGGCCTGGGTCCAGGTTACTTGAGGGACCTTCTCACCCCACTGGGATTGGCCCACCCCACTCATGCCGGCAGAGAAGGCATGCTGTGGGTCCCGTCAGTCTGGTTATTTCGATTGGCTGGGTCCAGGAGGGCCTTCTCCGCTGTGGCCCCTGCCCTCTGGAAACATCTTGCCCACTTATGTGAGGTTGGACCCAACCCTCTTATCTTTTCCTAAGGGCCTAAAGACTGGAGGAACAGTGCAATGGAGGTGGTTGATTGATTGTTCCTTCTCTCTGGAACATCATTCCCTCGCCCCCCCATCTAGGAGATAATTTAAGAGCTGACCAGCTGATGCAATGATGGGAATGAGTCAGCAGGGTCCTTGGCTGTTATCCCTTTAAGAGCCTGTGTAATATGGGGAGGCCCTCCTAGAGTGTTTGTGGTCCATCCATCGAGTGTCTTCCCTGCTGTAATTGCTGTTTGTTTAGATACTGCTTGTAGCATGTGTATGTATAGTATTCCTATATTCCTACTGTAGATAAAAAACACTATTTGATACAAACCACTGTTGGCTGTACTTGCTCTTGGTTGATACATGTGATAGACCTGTGCACACTCTGACACCACCCCGACCCCCCCCCACCCTGAGATTAGAAAGGCCCCCCACTCTGACACTGTCAAGTTTCTGCCTTCGCCTCCCCCTAAAAACATTCTGTTGTGGCCTGCTGGCAGCCAGACCTTCCAGCAGCCAAATCAGAGGAGGAGGAGATGTGGGAGCATCAAGGCAACCTGGGAGCTCTGAGGGGAAGAGGGAATGAAGCTGTCAGAGAACGAGAGAGAGGCAGAGTCTGGGCCATCTGTCAGCCCTCAGTTGGAGAGTCAACAGCCCCCAGGTCTGGAGGTGGCTGATGAGGAAGAGGAGAAACAGATAGGTCCAGTGCCTGAAGCGCAGATGCACAGAAGGCAGAGGAGAGGAGAACAGTGGAAATCTATGGGCCAGTCCTTGGGATGGAAGAGCCATCACTGCTAGCAAAGCCCCACCCTTGGGATAAAAGGCAGGGGGCGGAGACGAATAGATGTGGAAGACAACTATTCATCTTCCGTCCAGAGGGATTTGTTAGCCTGCTGTGAGAGAGAAACTATTTCCCGGGGCTGCCGGCGCTCCTAATAAAGTTAACTTCAGAGGGTTTGTCGTGTTTGGGGAGCTGGGTCAGAACACAGTCCCAACAGCGCTCTCTTCTCCTCACCGGTATTCCCTGCTCCTCAGGGAGTACAGCTTGAAGGCACAACCCAAGGCAATCACCAGCAGCAGCCCACAGACCAGGCTCCCGATGAGCGCAGCCGTGATGACCTTCCGGGGCACGATCACCAAACAGTTGTGCTCATCGCTGCCATCTTGGCAATCCTCCTGGCCGTCACAACGCCAGGTCTCAAAAATGCAGAGGTTGGTGCCGCAATGGAAGTTCCCCGGCTGGCACACAAAACAGTTCTTCTCGTCCGACCCGTTGGGGCAGTTCTTCTGGTTGTTACAACGGTCGAGCAAGGAGTAGCACAGCCCGCTATTCCCCTCGCAGGGGTACTCGTTCTTCTGGCAGGCGGGACAATTCTCCTCGTCCTTCCCGTTGGCGCAATGCCACCACCCATCACAGTGCTGCTTATCGGAGTAACACTCCTCCTCGTCCCCGCACGGGTGCTCCCACGGAAGGCAATACCCTTTGACTTGATAGGTCGCGTTGAACCCGTGCCCGGTGCTTTTCGACCAGGCGTAGTACAAGATGGTCATCTGCCCCTTGGCGGACTCCAGGCTGACCGAGTGCTTATTGTTCCGATACGAGAGCGTCTCCATCAGCTTGTCGGCTTTCTCCTCTAAGCCGTCGTACACCTTCACGTAATCCTTGTAGCCCAGCTGCAAACTGAGCTGCAGGAGGACGTGGCGGTTATCTTGCGTGTCCACCTTCCACGTGCAACAGAGGTCGGCTCGATTCCGGTCCAGGCGGAAGAAATCCGGCGAGGCGAACGAGCCGTAGAAATTGCTGAGTTTCTTGCCGCAGGAGAGATCGGGGCAATTTTCCTCATCGGAGCCGTCGCTGCAGTCTTTCACGGCGTTGCATTTCAGCTCGTTCAACAAGCACTTGGTGGAATGGGGAATGTTGCACTGGAAGGTCCCCGAAGGGCAGATGTTGGACTGGGGCTCCGTCGGGGGGAGGCTGCAGTTTTTCTCGTCGGAGTTGTCCCCACATTCGTCCATGGAATTGCACTTCCAAGTGATGGGGATGCATTTGCCATTGAGGCAGCGGAATTCGTCCGATTGGCAGCTGGCTTGGCCAACCTTCCCTGCGAAGTAAGGGAGAAGAGTTAGGAACTTCTGCTGCAAGCATTAGTCATTTATCATTAGCCATTAGACATTTTTTCCCACCTGCCTTTCTTATTTTGTAAGCCCAAAGTCACCCAGGTGGGTTTCATGCCTAAAGCAGAACTAGAGCTCCCAGTCTCCTGGTGACTTGGCCCAAAGTCACCCAGTTGTTTTTCATAACTAAGACAGGACAAGAACTCCCAGTTGCCCCGCAATTGGCCCAAAGTCACTTAGCTGGCCTTCATGCCTAAAGAAGAACTAGAACTCCCAGTCTCCTGGTAATCATCCCAAAGTCACCCAGATGGCTTTCATGCCTAAAGCGGAACTAGAACTCCAGTCTCCTGGTAATTGGCCCAAAGTCACCCAGATGGCTTTCAATGCCTAAAGCAGAACTAAAACTCCCAGTCTCCTGGTAATCGGCCCAAAGTCACCCAGATGGCTTTCAATGCCTAAAGCAGAACTAGAACTCCCAGTCTCCTGGTAATTGGCCCAAAGTCACCCAGATGGCTTTCAATGCCTAAAGCAGAATTAAAACTCCCAGTCTCCTGGTAATCGGCCCAAAGTCACCCAGATGGCTTTCAATGCCTAAAGCAGAATTAAAACTCCCAGTCTCCTGGTAATCGGCCCAAAGTCACCCAGATGACTTTCACTGCCTAAAGCAGAACTAGAACTCCCAGTCACCTGTTAATCGGCCCAAAGTCACCCAGTTGGCTTTCATGCCTAACGCAGAACTAGAACTCCCAGTCTCCTGGTAATCAGTCCAAAGTCACCCAGCTGGCTTTCATGCCTAAAGCAGAACTAGAACTCCCAGTCTCCTGGTAATTGGCCCTAAGTCAGCCAGGTGGCTTTCATGCCTAAAGCGGAACTAAAACTCCCAGTCTCCTGGTAATTGGCCCAAAGTCACCCAGATGGCTTTCCTGCCTAAAGCGGAACTAAAATTCCTAGTCTCCTGGTAATTGGCCCAAAGTCACCCAGATGGCTTTCATGCCTAAAGCGGAACTAAAATTCCTAGTCTCCTGGTAATTGGCCCAAAGTCACCCAGATGGCTTTCCTGCCTAAAGCGGAACTAAAATTCCTAGTCTCCTGGTAATTGGCCCAAAGTCACCCAGATGGCTTTCATGCCTAAAGCGGAACTGAAACTCCCAGTCTCCTGGTAATTGGCCCAAAGTCACCCAGATGGCTTTCATGCCTAAAGCGGAACTAAAATTCCTAGTCTCCTGGTAATTGGCCCAAAGTCACCCAGATGGCTTTCATGACTAAAGTGGGATTAGAGCTATAGAGTGTATGAACTGTATGGAGTGTAAGTATGGAGTGATCTCTGGTTGCTATCCTGATATTAAAGATAAAGTTTCACTGAACTCAGTGCTACTTGATAGACCCATCTTGGCAGGTTTCTTGCCAACGAAACAAGTTTATTGTTGCCTTCTTACATTTTTTTTAAAGCTTCACAACTAAACTGCAGCCCAATATTGTCTGTTGGTCTCTCCACTAGCAGTATATCCATGTGAAGAGGATCAGACTCACTAAAACAGCAACATAACACAACACTGAAATTCTATCTTGCCAAGCGCAACCTTCCGCTCCCAACTTGCTCCAAGCAAAATATTCTCCCCACGGTTCTATCTCTTAGCCTACCCAACTCTACTCATAAATCACTTGATAGTTTTGTTATACAGAAACATCACCCACAGGAATGGACAAAAGCCACGAGAGACGACAGGAGTATGGCTGGGTTCACACATCACATTAAGCCATGGTCGGTCGATATTGTTTGTTGCACAAAAATGGGTTTATTTAATGAAGCAAGCCGTAAATAAACTATTTAAAAATAATTTCTATCTGACTAGTTTTTCTCTTTCTTTTTCTTTTCTAATTACTTGCATAGGGATTATTCGTTATACTATTTATGTTGTTTGCATATATTTTTTTGTCATGGATTTCACCTGTGAGGCTAAGACCAATTTCGTTGTATACATGATGTACAATGACAATAAAGGCTATATTAGTACTACAAGAGCTTTAAATGTAGTCCGCAAACCTTCCTGGCTATCTATGTTCATGCAATGTGCTGAGCCGAAATCAAGACACACGTACATCGCAGTGTGAACTAGGTCACAGTGAAAATTGTGTTGGCGATGGATCCAAGAGATGTGCGTTTATGTCTGGTTTACTCTAAGGTGTGTTAGCTTATTCCAGTTTGCTGTTCTCTCTTCATAGCAATAGCAATAGCAGTTAGACTTATATACCGCTTCATAGGGCTTTCAGTCCTCTCTAAGCGGTTTACAGAGTCAGCATATCACCCCCCCAGTCTGGGTCCTCATTTCACCCACCTCGGAAGGATGGAAGGCTGAGTCAACCCTGAGGTTTTTAGGTTATTAGGAAAAGCATATGCCTCCTTCCTGCTGATATCACCCTCCTGATAAGGCCACAGGGATGGGGAGAAAAAAATAACATGAATAAAATTACAGTCTTCCTAAAGTATCTGTGTATGCCTCTACAATAACAAACATACATCAAGCTGACTGATGTGTATTTGACCAACCACCAGTATGGGCCACTCACCACTTCTTGGGTGCAAGATATATAGCAATAGCAATAGCAGTTAGACTTATATACCGCTTCATAGGGCTTTCAGGCCTCTCTAAGCGGTTTACAGAGTCAGCATATCACCCCCCCAGTCTGGGTCCTCATTTCACCCACCTCAGAAGGATGGAAGGCTGAGTCAACCCTGAGGTTTTTAGGTTATTAGGAAAAGTATATGCCTCCTTCCTGCTGATATCACCCTCCTGATAAGGCTACAGGGATGGAGAGAAAAAATAAAATGAATAAAATTACAGTCTTCCTAAAGTATCTGTGTATGCCTCTACAATAACAAACATACATCAAGATGACTGATGTGTATTTGACCAACCACCAGTATGGGCCACTCACCACTTCCTGGGTGCAGGATATATGAGCCGAGGTGGCGCAGTGGTTAGGGTGCAGTACTGGAGGCCACTTCAGCTGACTGTTATCTGCAGTTCAGC